TTATGTTAGTCAAGTATGCATTGGGGAGCTCAGTGGTATAGCCATCAGTTCAAAGTCTACCCTCTCTTTGCCCTGCGCATGAAGGCGACACAGGGAACTCAGATTTGGATGCTCCCTTTTTAAATATGGGTCTTTGCAATCTCTATCTGTATATAATGTGACAATAGATATGAACTGCAGTCAAAGGGTCTGTAAATGCCAGTAAAAGTATTTTGTGAAGGGAAGACTTCAGGCTCTCTCCTGCAAAATGTGTTTTTTCAACGAGTTTTTATGGCCACTAGTTCTATAAAAACAGAACTTCTCATTGATTTTTACTGGGAATTCTGTTTAAAATCAACAGTAATCATCAACGGGCTGATGATGTGTATTTCAAGACACTTTCCCTCATTTGCTATTCCCTAATCTAATCCTAAACGCAAAAAGTTCTTGAGTTTTTTTCATAGTGGGACAATAATCTGATAATAAGTATTCACTATCCATCAAAGCTCTCAAGGCAGCATCCAATTGCCACTCGCATTTTCAGGACTTAAAGACATCCTGGGTAGCTGTAAACTGCCGAATCTGGTACTGAGCGTTATATAGTTTCACACTAATGTCTTTGTTCTGAAAGACACATCTCCTTTGGACACAAAACTCACCTTTTCTTTTTAGGTAGGATACAGTTTCCTTCATTACTGGGGGGATTAGTTCACCTTTATTTTTGTCCTTGATGCTGTTAGGAAAAAAACAAAAAGAAAAAGCAACAGCCTTTAAATGGCATTTATAACAAAGAGTCAAAACTAAGATAGAAGAGCCTCAGCAAAAACCTGAGAGATATCTGAGAGCATAAGTTAAATTCCACAAATTAAGGAGCTTGCACCTTGATGCCTGCACCAAACACAAGAGTCATCCACAACTCTAACAGGTGCTGAATGAGCCACTGAAACAGGTGACTTGGACTTCTCTTCAAAGAGTCATTCCTATACGCTTTATTCTCGCTAGAAAAGCTGTGTACTGCAACAGCACCAAGTAATAAACAAGTGCTATTTACTGTACCGAAGGTGAGCTAAGGCCAGAGCAGCAGAATGGTGTTCCAGACTAACTTTGCTCCCACTTGAGATTGGTTTTGCTCCAGTTCTGTTCCCCTCACCTGGCACACCCCATGACGGTGGTGGTGGTGGCTTTCATCAGATTTGCTTGGATGCTGTTGGTGGAACGGGGTTTCAAGGCAGCTTAGAGGCAGGCAAGGAAGAAGTTTGCAGTGAATGCTTCAGAATAGGTCTTGATCAAGGGATGCTACAAGTTTAGGAGCCTTTTATCATGCAGATTTTTTTTTTTTGTCATTTGTCTCTTTTCAAGCCACAGTGTATGTATAATTAAAAGGATATTGTACTATTTATTTTGAAGGCAAAGTGATGCAGTGAGATTATTGCTGCTTTGAATGATTCCTACGAAATGAGATTTCTTTCTCTTTCATGAGTGAACAGTTGAGGCAAAAAATCGAACACGGCATTTTCTTGATCTAGGCAGCACCAAAAATTCCTCAATTATCTTCTTTATTTAAAAAAAAAGAAGTCTTTGGCAGTTTAAAAGTATAACAAAAGAGATGGTCAGTATCTGCTGCATATTCTCCTACATTTTTATAGTAATCAACAACAAAACAAAGGACCAATCTCAGATTTTAAAGTAGACTTAGTATATATTTCTGTGCACAATTTCCTATTTGATGTTTAAAAGGCGACCTGCTTTACTGACAAACTCTAAAGCACCAGCACAAAGATCTATGACTGTATCATGAGAGGCTGCAAATGCTGCAGGTCATCCACAGAAAATGCAAGATGTTTACATAACATGGCAACATAGCTTTAACCTAGTGCTACTAGCTGAGGTTGCACCCGTGTCGTGGTGTTGATCCCGGCTGGACACCAGGTGCCCACCAAAGCTGCTCCATCATTCCCCTCTTCAGTTGGGCAGGGGACAGAAAATATAACAAAAGGCTGGTGGGTTGAGATAAGGACAGGGAAAGACCACTCACCAGTTACCGTCATGGGCAAAACAGACTAGATTTGGGGAAAATTAATTTAATTTATTGCCAATCAAATCAGAGTAGGGTAATGAGAAAAACAAAAACAAACCTTTAAACACCTTTCCCCTACCCCCCCCTTCTTCCTGGGCTCAACTTTACTCCTGAATTCTCTGCCTCCTCCCCCTCAGTGGTACAGGGAGACAGGGAATAGGGGTTATGGTCAGTTCATCACATATTGTTTCTGCTGCTCCTTCCTCCACAGTGGGAGGACTCCTCACACTCTCTCCCTGCTCCAGCATAGGGTCCCTCCCAAAAACTTCTCCAACATGAGTCTTTCCCACGGGCTACAGTTCTTCACAAACTGCTCCAGTGTGGGTCCCTTCCAAGGGGTGCAGTCCTTCAGGAACAGACTGCTCCAGCGAGGGTTCCCCACAGGTCCTGCCAGAAGCCTGCTCCAGTGCAGGCTTCCCATGGGGTCACAGCCTCCTTCAGGCATCCACCTATGCCGGCATGGGGTCCTCTACGGGACGTAGGCAGTCATCTGCTCCACCATTAACCTTCATGGGCTACAGGGGGACAGCCTGCCTCACCATGGTCTCCATCACACGCTGCAGGGGAATCACTGCTCCAGTGCCTGGAGCCCCTCCTCCCCGTTCTTCACCGACCTTGGTGTCTGCAAAGTTGTTTCTCTCTTATATTCTCACTCCTCTCTCTCGCTGCAATTACTGCTGTGCAATAACTGGGTTTTGCCCTTTCTTAGACACGTTATCCCAGAAGCGCTACCACCGTCACTGATGGGCTCGGCCTTGGCCAGCAGTGGGTCCATCTTGGAGCCAGCTGGCATCAGCTGTATCAGACATAGGGGAAGCTTCTAGCAGCTTCTCACAGAAGCCACCTCTGTAACCCCCAGGCTACCAAAACCTTGCCATGCAAACCCATTACAACAACGCAACATGTTAAGTGATTGTAATAAAACTTGTTAATCCAGCTCCCAGAGCTCATTTTACTCTTTCAAATACCAAGACCAAGCTGCTGTTTGAAAGGAAATAAGTTGGGTTTTTTTCCTCAGCGGCAGAACTGATGAAGTTGATGTGCAACTGATTTGTATCCTATGTCCTACCTCTTTCCTCATCACAGGAATCTGAAATCATTTCCTTATGTCATCTATAACCTCACTTCCCTTACAGAGTATTTTCATTTCCTCCCCTCACCCCTATCTCATATTTCCTCATAAGGTAAGGAGTAGCTCATAATCATCACCTAAACACTAACTGGTGCACCAGCAGACCAAACACAACAGAAAACTGAATTCCTGCTATAGTTTCTCTCCTTCCAGCCAATGATTTTTAAAAGCTTGTAGCATTTGTGAGAACCCCACTACTCTGTCTAGTTTGGTTGACAGAAGTCCATAGCTCTCCTGCGAACCTGACTAAGAATCAATCCATTGAACAATTTTTTCCTGCTCTTTTTCCGCAAAGTATCCATACCGGAATCTAAAGTGTATAAAATTCATTACTGCTCTACATGTGGGTTAATACTACTTTGTGGATGCTGCTGTATTGACATCTAACAGGAAATGTTTAGAAAAGGGGAATTTTACTTGATGTAAACAGACATAGGAACTTTGATAAAAAATGTAGCCAAGTTTTACAAAACCATGTTCGTAACATGATAATTTCAGACATTTGACCAAATAAATTCTACAATGCATGCAATGCACTTGCAGGAAGAAAAAGACTAACAGCAAGGAATGACTTTAATCCAGATAATCCTAAAGTACGGTCTTTTATACGTTAGCAATTTTGATCATTTGCTGCTGATTGCAAGTATAATCTTTAGAGGAAATGATACAACTTCTTGTCCTTACACGCTGGCAAGGCACCACTAATTTCAATACAAAACTGTACTGGACTTGCTGGAGTAATCATTCCCTGCGGTACCATAACAACATGATAACGGCCAGAAGAAAGATTTATGACCTGACTTGTAAAACCAAGTCCAACCTCAGTCTTCCCCACTATCACGGACATCTTATGAGAGCCAAACCAGAGGCCATAAGTGCTTCACGAAAACCCCTCAGAAATTAGAGGAGGTCATGGCTTGAAACGCTACCAGGACCAAGTTTATGGCCTAGTCCTCAGAGCAGCGTCATCTTCTTACCCACAGTGACAATCAGGTATCTCCGTAAAGTATCTATCCTATCAGCAAAATCCTCTCAGACCCTTTCAGGGTATGTATCCTGTCACTCCTAGTCTCTCCTGCCCCTTCCAGCTTCAACAACCCTACAGCAGTTTCATGCATGCTGGTGACACTGCAGAGCGGAAGGTCAGGGTTAGTGTCACAAGCAAGCAGGAATTGTGCGGTGCTCTCAGACCAGCTCTGAGACCTAGCTTGTTCTGCCCTTCCCCCAGCCTTCCACCTAGACCCTGGAGAGGAAAAATTAACAACTTTGCTGCAGTATCACAAGCTCTCATACCAGGCCCTGCAAAAGCTGGCCACAGCACAGGGAGCAGAGTCAGGCAAACACAGAACACATGAACCCCCTGAAAGGCAGCTTCCGTATGCGAATTATTTTCTCTTGCAGCAGATCAGTGTCGTACCACAACCCCACTCCAACAACGACGAACAAAACAGGCAGTGACTGTGCAGCCCCATTAATAAATTAGCCTTGCAAATAAACGACACGAGGAAGAAAGTTCTAGGGGTTCTTTGCACAGCACGCAAAGTTGAAATCCCCAGAGAAATTATATCCCCTGGTAAGGGACTAAACAAGAAAAGGGGCTGGGAGATGAGGTCAGTACCAAGGTCAGTGTTCAGGATACCAGCAAGGAAAAGCCTGCAGCAAATCAAGGCAAAGGGAAAGAAAACCCCCACATTTATTTTAGCCTTTCTAATAGGGGAGTTACAACACGCTCCTTGTGTGTCAAACAATTTTGTTTCGTGTATTCAGATCAGTACCCTAAACATTCAGGGCAACTTTTATTAAAATTAGTGGAAAGCCTAATTCACTTAAATGGGAACATCATCAAGACTTTAATTTGCTTGGAAGCTGTTACATCTTTATTATTGACAATTTAAGCTCATGGAGCCCATTCTCAGTCTCTCTGAAGTTGCACTGATTGTTTTTGCTTTCTTACAGCTGCTCACTCCAGAGGCACCAAATAGCAACCCAGCAGCTTTTTATAAATGTTTTCTAATTATTATTGTTACCCATAAATGTGTTTCCCATTTCAGTGTATAAATAGCAAACTGATTATTTACAGCACTTGCTCCTGCTGAGCACTAGTTTATCTGTCAGAGAGGTGAGACAAATAACTGGGCTATAATTTGTAATAATAAAACCTACACACCATTTTTCTTTTTCTAGGAAAAAAAGATTCAGTTTCTGCACTTGTACTATATTCTACAGGATTCCTGTTTCCCTTGAAGGAAAGGTTCCATTTCCAGTACAATGAAAGGGGTCTTCAAAACCAATGGTATTTTAAAATAGAGTAGGATATTCACGGAAAGTCACATGCAAAGGATTGTTCTGTTTTTGTAACACTGGAGAAAGCTAGGATGATATTTTCACAGCATTTCACAATGTGGGACACAGCATTCAGTTCACTGGACCTAAGGTGACAGAAAATAATAGGGACATTACTTCGGCTAATGTAAATCAGACCAGCTTAGAGGTCAATGAAATTACACCTCTATTCTCTCTTTGT